CGCGTTATTATTTTGCAGTATTTCTGTTTCCTGTGTCTCACTTCAGGGGCTGCATCAGGTCGCACTGCGCAGACGCAGGCGACGTCACTTCCTCAAGCCCCACTCGCGGCATTATTTAGAACAGTGTTTCCCAACCGGGGTGCCGTGTAAAAAATCCTTTTTTAATATTTTTAAATTGCTAAAATGATAAAAAAAAACAGCTATTATATAATATCCATTTCTAATGTCGCCAATAATTAGAGATGCACTGAAATTCCGGCTGCCGAAAATTAGTTCACCGCTCAGGATTCACTTTCACGTGGTGTGACGCTCTGTAACTAAAATTAAAACAGGCCGCCAAAAACAACACTAGTTGTCATCGTCTCGTTTCTGAAGTTCTGAGGCGAACAGATTTCAGTTACATCTGCCACCAAGAATATAAGCAGGATTTTGTATTCGTATGTTTCTCATAGATTTGATAATGACAGGGACAAGAATCTCTCAGTCCCTGTGGCACCACATTTTCAGCTGAATCATGCTAATAGATGTCATGTTTCACCTAGGACTGCAGCCCACAGAACTGTGAGTGATGGCTAGTTATACTTCAGGAATGTCTTTTGAATCAAAAAGTACTTTCTCTGCGCAAGTGTTACATCAGTTGTCAGGAAATATTAGATATTTACTTTATTTAAACAGGAGCTGTTTTATTGTATATTGACTGATTAATTAAAATGAAGTATTATATAATATTTAAATAAGAATTTTTTTTTTGTTTTTTCAGATTGTTATTCTATATGATTGATTTAAATATATATGAGAATAAAGTGACACAAAAATGCTAATTCTGTCATCAAGCAGCTATATATATATATATATATATATATATACATATACATATACATATACATATACATATACATATATATATATATATATACACACACACACACACACACACACACACACACACACATATATATATATATATTAATTTTTTTGTGTGTATTTTTGGGACCAGGGACAGCTATGAAAACCATTCACCTTAACTATACAGAAAAAAAGCAGCTTGGATATTCTGCTAAATAACTCCTTTTGTGTCCCACAGTAGAAAGAAAGCCATATGGATTTGGAACAACATAAGGATGAGAAAAGCTGGCAGATGTTTCATTTTTGGGTGGACTGTCCCTTTAAGAGTTGATGAAATGTAGTTAAACTACAGTAGAGAACATCATCAATTACAATAAACTGTCATCTCTAATCTCCTTAATAAAACAGACTTTTGTTTTGTATTGTTCTGTATTGACAGATGTCAGTGGTATCAGAAGACACTGACAGATACGTAGATATATAGGCGCACTGTCTAGCTCTGGGTCCAGTTGTCATGGCTACCATTATGCTGTCTGGTGTTGAGGTACATTTTGTGTGTGAAATTTGTTCTGTTACCCGGTGTTCAAACACAGTGTGCTGTCTCGCTCTTTCTCTTCTCCCCATTTGTACAGACAGTGTTCCCACTATGTGTGACCACAGAATGATGTACATTGTGTCATACAGGTGCTATTGAATCCAGAGAGAAATAGATTTTTGCAAAAGAAAGCCTCCACTTGTATATGCCACCCCTGCACCGCAATAAATCATTCAGTAAGACATGTGAGTGGGATTTTATTTATTTATTTGTTTATTAAGTCATTTAGTCATGTGGAGAGCTGAAGAGGTGGATGGACAGTGGAGGTACAGTCTGTAGGGCCGGTTGCCATGGAGACGCTTATCTAGCTGTGGGATGGGGTATTTCTGGATGGAGTAGTGCCTTTAGGGGAGTCCTGGACTGGCCGGGTGTACCATGACAGAAAACTTGCTATTGACAAGCAAACTGCGCCTGTGTTATATCCATATCTGCCATTACAGCTTGCAATTAAATAATACTAATAATAATTAAAACAATTATTTACCTCAGACCCATCTTCTCATACAGCATATAAGGGGTTAAATGACTATCAGTGATATGGCAAAGTCACTGCACTTACGTTGTCACCTGTGGGAGGTTCTGAGTCACTCAATCATTTACATTTCTCCTCCACACTCAAGTGCTCTGATGATTCAGGTGCACTTATTCCCATCAGTCCACCTTTTTCAGCCTGCTCTTCATTTCTGTCTATTTAAAGATGTGAGCTCTAACTTTATACAAATAAGTAAGGCATGGGGATTTTGTAATGACATTTCACTCAAATAAACTAATAAATGAGATACAGCATGACACTGCATTTAGTATAACTCATCTGCATGTTAATAAAACAAGTTTGTTATCCCAAAAAAAAAAAAATAATAATAATAGTGATGATAATAATAATAATAATTGTTAGGGGAAAAGTAACCCATACTTATATATAGTTTCTTAGTAAATATAATCATACATTGTTTTTTAATTCAAACAAATACAGTTTTTTTTTTTTACATTTTCATATAGACATGATTTTTTGCTGTTCAGATATTGAAAAGGATTGACCTATTATAATATTAATTATTATTATTTTTGATTATTATTTTTTGAGCAAAAAAAATTTAAAACTCCCTCCTTAGAAATATGTCTTTAATAAAATATTCAAATGATAGTTCATCCAAAAATTACAATTCTGTAATCTTTTACTCATCCTTGTTTCATTTTTTGGGGAAACTATCCCCATAATAAAAATAAATAACTAAATAAACAATATAAACTCTCTAACCCATTCAAAAGCAACAGATGTCTGCCATCCAAAAGCACAAAATGTATGAATATGCCCAACTTTCAGAGCATTGCATAACATGGATTGAGTTCAGTGTAAATATCTAGTTTTTGACACATCCAAACTGCAAAATAAGCAGCTACTAAACTGTTCAAAAGGTACAGAGGAAAATCCAAGGGTGTCATAGATGTTAACTTGCATTACAGCCTGAACACAAAGCAGGCTGAATGTAGAAATACCTTTAGACTGTGGAGTGACCTTAAAGGCACAATATGTAAGATTTGTTTATTAAAATATCCAAAAACCACTAGAACAGTGTTATATATTTTGCTGACTTGTGTACTTACATTATCCCAAATGTTTCGAAGAATGTTTAAATCCAGACAAATAAGCAATTTTAACTAGTGACACGGAGCGTGTCTATAGTGTCATTGTGTCGCCTGCCAATGCCGTCATACACCCTCGATTTCCGGTTTTGTTTTGTAGAAAACATGGAAACACCAAAGACGCTTTAATATGTTGTGCATTTTATTAGACCGGTGACGACCGCACAGAGTAGCATAATAACAGAACTTTCAAATGTATCTAGTATGATAAAACGGCGCTGCTTTTTTCCCCACATACGCACGACCGGAAGGAGCGGAAGTGGTTGACTGTGGCATAATAAAAGCTCCGCTGCTTTCAAGCCGTGTGTCACGCTCTTTCAGCGGCCTCGTTTAGCTTCAACGGCTTCCAGCCTCACCCTGCTTCATTCTACTACGTTAACAAATCATTAGCTCATCCATGAACATGATTTCTGCCCGAGTCCCGTCGGATTGCATCGGCTGTGGGGATGAAGACCACAACTCCCATGATTCCACACTCAGTCACAGCGTCTTTAAACTATGCCTTTGTCTATTTCTTTATTTTGAATACGCGCCCTCTAGCGGCGAAAATTACATATTGTACCTTTAAAGGAGCGAGATTCCAGACATCAGTGGAGAGTCTCGTTCCCTGCCGGGTTAATGTAGAGCCTGATCCAGGGCCATACAGCTGTATCGAGCCCAGTCCTACAGGCATGAGTGCCTGGGTTCTGTATGGGTGAAGAGCACATGCTGGGAAGTGAAGTGGGGCATAAGCAATAGAAATCACTGTGTATACTGCAATATGTCACTATATGCATACACTCTCAACTCTTCTCAGAATCAAAGTTTTCATTTGTCACATATACCATGTTTTTTTAGGTTAAAAGCACACCCACGGACACACAACTGTACATTTACATAGCCTAAACAGAAGAAAAATATGCATTTAGTAGTAACATTAATAAAATCTTTTTGTTTTTTTACTTTCTTAGCCAATCTAAAACAATTTCATTAATATATATATATATATATATATATATATATATATAGCCATACACACACACACACACACACACACTCACACTCACACTCACACTCACACACACAAATACTTATTGTATTTTTTCTTTTATTGTAAGCACACTTTGAAAGATATCTAAAATGCACCCCACGGAGGCAGTTATGGTTTTGGAGATGGACTGGCTTCTTGGACTGTTGCTTGAAGTGATTTATTTGTGGAGTGTACGGGGCGGGCCGTATTTAAATTAGAGGCGGGGCTAATGGAATGGAGTACAATGTCATGCAGCTCTAACCGGCAGACAGCTAAAGGATACTTTCACACGGTAAGCTCTATTTTCAATTTTGTATACTTTTAAAAATACAACTGGAACAAATATGTGCATGCGATTGACAGTCTTTATCCTTTCCCGTAAGATTTAATTGTGAGATTTTTAAGGCTAGTCTGTTTTTAAAAGCGTTAGTCACACCGGAATTTGACAACTTGAGTAGCTCACCGAGAATTATTATCAATAAATAAATAAATACTGTGTCGGTTTATAATAAATAGTAATGATGACTGATACTGATACAATAACTAAATATGTCCTAATAGCAGACCATGGACTGTTATCAGCATCAGGCTGTGGATTTGTATGGACATCTTGTGTGGCTCAAAACCTCGCTGCCTGCTGCTTAGACAGCTCAGAAGGTTTTGAAGCACAGCCGGTCTTGATTTCATCTCTGCTTGCGTCTAATTTAAGACGTATGCTGGTGCAGGCGCGGATAATCCAAAAAATCTATTTATATGCGAAAAATAGGCTACATAAAGAGGTCAGGCTTGTCTAACTGACGTCAGTCAGATATCACCCAGTCATCAGTCGCCGTTATTTTTCATTGGTGGTCACCATGACATCATTAAATACCGGAGAGGGATACCGGGAGACCTCAGAGGTTCTGATTTAGCGATGAGGAGTTCCTGTCGGATGCGGCAAACCGGCATCATTGTTCTGCAGATATTGTAGCTGGTGAGCTTTAGTGAATCTGTTCGTGATCTGTCGAATACAATGTGTGTATTTTAAATAGAGCCGTTTTTAGTCAAACGGAAAAGAGATAAAACAAGCGTAAATGCAACATGACATTCTTTTAAATGCATGTGTGTTTGTGTTTAAATCGGAATTGCTCTGTATAATATGCTGAACATCAAGTCTTTGTTAGTGTTTCTCGAGCGGTCTGCAGTGCGCTCAAACGACACGCTCGGATGATCAAGATCTGTTCTCAGATTTATCCTGTTATTAACTGTGTAACACTAAAATCATCCTTAGACACCATGAGATATATAATTGCAGAATATTGCGGTGTTTTATTTTTGTCTACTGCTTCTCTCTTATGAATATCATGAGCACTGACTGATTGCAGCAGAAGCTCTAGGCATATTACACGAGCAAAAGTGCTGCTGTTCTTTATATCAGCACGGCTGAAATGCCGTAGGTAGAGATTATATGAGTGTGATATTACTTAACAGTTCAGTAAATTCATTAATATCAAGTAATTTACGTTTAAACACAAATTGGCCAAGTAATTTCTGTCCCGTCAATGAAAATAGTTCTAAAGAAGAGAAGCGAAGCGGCTTCAAGTGTCAACACACACACAGAAATCCGAAGTGGAACGACGCATTTAAGTGGAAAAGAGCGACAGAGAGTTCCCTGCAGCTCAAAGCGTTCTCTAATCAGTCGGCGGTAGATCCACTTCGGGTTTTACATTTCGCACTTCTGAGTGAGAAACCCACTCTGAGCGTTCATGGAGCTCGAGAAACACAAACGCTTGATAAACAACGCGTTTCAGGCAAACTCCGGCTAAATGAAAATTAATTATTTTTTATGTTGACACCAAAAATAATCTTCAATATAAACTGAATGTATTTTTATTACTTTATTGTTTACCTTGCTAATTTTCACCGTTGTTTTGTAGAGTTTGGTGGTTCTGGAAGGACTCTCTCTGTAAATAAAAGCCATGGGGAAGGATTACTATAAAATCCTTGGCATACCTTCAGGCTCTAATGAGGATGAAATCAAAAAGGCCTACAGGAGGATGGCCCTAAAGTTCCATCCAGACAAAAACAAGGATCCCAATGCTGAAGAGCAGTTTAAGGAGATAGCAGAGGCTTATGAGGTTCTGAGTGACCCAAAGAAGAGAGTCATCTATGACCAGTACGGCGAGGATGGTAAGTATGGTTGGGTCCAAGTACAAAAGAACCACAGCCAAACATCTCAGAACCATATCAGATTCTATAGCCCCTTTCACACAGTAATACCATTAAATTGCCGTAAAATTACCGGAACGACTTTACCGGTAAATACAAAAATGTGCTGTTCACACAGGCAAGGACATTCAGTCTTTTACCGGTAAAGCACCATTCACACATCAATTTCAAAATACCAGAAAATTCTGTGGCATCATTAACTGGAAATGACCTTTAAAAGGCTGCGCCTCCTGGTGTTGTGTTTGTAAACATGGAGGGGTATATGCTGACAGTGTTTTTGTTGATTGTTTTCACTTTTGTGTCAAACGTTCACATTCATGCAGCTGCTTTTGGCCCAGAGACATCGTATTAGACTTTAGACATTTCTTTGACTTCCGTAAACAGTGCGGTGTAAATGCGTGATCTGCGTCAGAATGTTATGATTAGCCTAGAGTAGACGCCTTACGTCAGCGTGTTATGAACATGTGTGTGCTCATACAGGTAATCTTGAGCACATTACCGGTAATATTACAACTTTTTTTGAAAAGGTCCCGTTCACACATAATCTCTTAATGGTGATTTACCAGTAAAGACTGTTTGTGTGAAAGGGGCATATGACTCGTTCTTGGGCCATAATTAGTTTTATGGTAAATGATAATTTGATAATCCATATATAGCCAGGTTTCAGTTCATTTATGGCTTTGGACACACTAAACCTTAAAGCTTTTCACACTGTCCTTAAAGTCCTCATGAAATAAACATTTACACTATTTACTTTGTTAGCGCACATTGTTAGTCTTGAGGTGGACAATTAATCCATGCAAGTTAATCCACTGAAAAAAAAAAGTTTGTTTTGGTAATCTTTAATCGAAATCTGAACATTTGCTTCCGCTCTGGAATGGCGTTCCTTCTCTGATGACGTCAGTTTGAGGGCTCGGGCAGAACATCCTTAACTACGCCCCTCCAACCATTGGTTTGCTACAAGTGAGAGATGGAGAGGAGGAGCGCTAAAAGAAAAACCTATTCAGTATGCCATTTCAGTTGGAAATACATCATAATACTGAAGTAAAGTCGGCAGCAACTTCCGGTTCACGTGGACTTTAACCATGGGCTATCATTAGCTTCTTCCACACATACAGTCTTTACTGGTAAATTACCGTTAAGAGATCATGTGTGAACAGGACTTTTTTAAAAATACCAGTAAATTCGTTCTGGCAGTTTACCAGTATGAGAAGTTGTAATATTACCGGTAATGAACCGGTGTGTGAACACAGCACAAGATTACCTGTATGAGCACGTACGAGTTCAGAACGTGCTGACGTAAGGCGTCTACTCTAGGCTAATCATAACATTCTGACGCAGATCACGCATTTACACCGCACTGTTTACGGAAGTCAAAGAAATGTCTAAAGTCTAATACGATGTCTCTGGGCCAAAAGTAGCTGCATTAATGTGAACGTTTGACACAAAAGTGAAAACAATCAACAAAAACACTGTCCGCATATACCCCTCCATGTTTACAAACACAACACCAGGAGGCGCAGCCGTTTAAAGGTAATTTCCAATTAAGGATGTCACAGAATTTACCGGTATTTTGAAATTGATGTGTGAATGGTGCTTTACCTGTAAAAAGATGAAACGTTGTTGCCTGTGTGAACAACTCATTTTTGAATTTACCGGTAAAATCGTTACGGTAATTTTACAGCAATTTACTGGTATTACTGTGTGAAAGGGGCTATTGTTGCAAACTCTGCTTTTAACCCTGGGTAAAGGAATGTTTCACACATGTAATTTAAAGCAGTTTTAGCAATGTAAAGTAAAGATTTTAGGAATATTTAGTGTGAAATGTCAGATTATGAATACCCAGGATTAATTTTTAACCCCAGGTTAAGTATGAGTAGTGTGAAATATGAAACAAGATAACCCGGGATTTAGTTTTCCCAGGGTTTAAAATGACCCAGCTTAATTTTTTCATACAGTATGTGAAAAGCCCTATTAAGTGTCTATCCAGCTGTCTGTTTGTAATAGGTGTTGTATTCATATTTGTAGTCTAAAATAGTGCATAATACCGCAAAATATATTTTCTAAGAAAACAATACAAATGCTAATAACAACAACACTTAATGGACCCAGGCACAGTTCTGTGTTTATACCAGATAGGACAACCCTTAAAAGGATCTTTGTCGTGGCTCACGTGGCTAGGCCACTGTTCTTTATACAATGTCAGTGCAGCTTTACCACCTCTGCTTTTTTCCGACAATCAAAATAACTCCCTCACACTGCAGGATGATGCAGAAAAGTTCTCTGACAAATGTAAGGACAATAAACATGGCACTGTTCCAAAATAAGAAAAATGTCTGTTGAAACAAAGAAGGATTTGAAGTCTTCCCACTTATGCCAACTCCAGGCTAGATGCCAAACTAAGTATCTTTACACTGAGTACACCTGCCAATTCCTCCTTTACTAATGTTACTTATGAATTTTGCAAGGAATCCCTTTATGTTTTTAGAGTCTTTGCATCAGTTCTTTCTGTGCAGCTTTGTTCCATAATGCTTGTAAAAAGAGCCATTAGGTCCAGTTAAAAGCTGTATCAGCAGCAAGCTGAATTGGCTCTATAAAAGCAGATTCACGCTGAGGAATTGTTTTTAAATCTGTATTATAAGATATATGAATCTGATGACCCCTTTAACCATCCCTTCATTAATTGTTTTGGCCTGAGGAGTTCATTGAAGTTGCAAAGAATGAGGTGGGAACATGTTTTATAAGATGTCTGCATTATATATGCAGACTGAAGAGTTGAAGATGTGAAGTTGGAAGATGAGTCAGCTTGTGTCCTGATCGTTAGAAGGAGTGCATATGTTACAAGCCATCAATCACCCACCATAACACATGGGTGTTAATGTTTTTTTTAAACAGAACTGAAAAGCACAAAATAAATGATTGTTTAATCCTAATTGACCTGTCTTTCTGTACTTCTATTTTTATGAAGAAGATAGTTTTGCATTGAACCTCAAAACACAGTTCAGACACCAGAGTTTAAAGGGCATTTACTGTATACACCATGCTATGGTCTTCCACTCATACAGGATCATCACTTGCCCAGGATTTGTACTGCATGTTCTTGCCAAAGTATTTTGTTATCAGAACCAAGCCACCAAGAGAAGACAGCTAAGGGACAATAACAGAAATGAAGTAGCCTGCTTGTTTTAGAGCGTATTTCTGTTCTTTGTCCAGCAATTTAAATTTGTAAACCAAACTGAGCGGGGGTGAAGAAAAGAAAGAGAGAAAGACTTGGCAGGTCTTCTTTTGAGCTTTACACCTCAAAATGGTGATGTGTGAGCAGTTGCAGACTAAATCAAATGCTATTCCATGCTACGTCATGGTGTAAGCTAGCACTTGATAATTATCCAGCAGGACTTTAGAATTAACATCTCAGTTGCCAATTATAGTGAGTCTTTATAGAGCTGCTATAATAATTCAGATGTTGCAGTCAGACCATTTCAGTGTTTTTCTTTTTTTCACTAAACAAATAGAAATAGATACATTTTGGCTGTTTCAAGTTTTTGACTCTTTCAAATACTGCAATGAAAAAGACTGCCCTCTTAGTAGTGTAGAGTTCAAAGAATCATCTTGGAGTTGGCATCCACTGGTATTGGTAAAGATGTCCAAGTGGGCTGTGTGTCAATGTACTTGCTTCTTTTGAGAAAAAATGTAATTTTACATTCAGGAATTTACATTTATACAGTCTTAAATTCCTAAAATATTGTATGCAGTATGCCATAATAGCTAGAAGTAATTATATTTTAGTTAACACTTTTATAGAAAGTGGCTTAAGTTTTATCACTGTTGAGCAGAATTGACTCTTCAAGGCCAGTGCAGTCCTAAATCCACTTTTCTCGCACAGCTGTGGCAGACTCACTAAGTTGGCAATGCCCTTAATATGGCTCCATCAATCCTTGGTGTACTTATGAGATGACATAAAGCTATACTTTTTTAAAGACTTGGGTGTCATTACTGAAAGGTAGAGTGTTTGCTAACCTCAAACTGTCACAGAAGATGCTGACCTGTGGAATTAAGCAGAACCTAAAATAAATTGTAAATGCAGAAATCCCTGATGCAATGTTCCTCCTGTGCATTTCCATCCAGGTTTGAAAACAGGTGGCACAGGCTCATCTAGTGGACAAGGGACTACATATCACTACACCTTCCATGGGGATCCACATGCCACCTTTGCTTCTTTCTTTGGAGGCTCCAACCCCTTCGATATATTCTTCGGCTCTGGACGCCAGCGGGGAACCACCAATGGCACTAATGACCATGGTGGCGATCATGACATGGACATTGACATGGATGGAGATGATGATCCTTTCAGTTCCTTCAGCCACTTTGGCTTCAATGGTATCAATGGTTTTCATCACGGTGGAGGTCGAAGACATCGTAAAGAGCCCCTTCACAGCAGCCGGAGGAAAGTACAGGACCCTCCGGTGGTGCATGAGCTTAAAGTGTCTCTAGAGGAGATCTTCCATGGATGTACCAAGCGGATGCGAATCACTCACAGACGACTGAACCCAGATGGAAGGACAATGAGGACAGAGGACAAGATCCTTAACATTGTTATCAAGAGAGGCTGGAAGGAAGGGACCAAGATCACCTTCCCCAAAGAGGGTGATGAGACTCCTGAGAACATTCCTGCTGATGTTGCATTTGTGCTCAAAGACAAAGGACACCCACTCTTCAAAAGGGATGGATCCAACATCATTTACACAGCCAAGATCGGTCTTAAGGAGGTATGTACTCTTCATCGTTCGGATACAGTCAGTTTTCAGGCCATTTGGTTTACACCATTTATTTTCACCCACAGTATATTGGTTAATAGCCTGAAATAATAGTCAGTTTTTGCACCTGTTTGCTTTTTTCCACTCTTTCTTGATATTCCCTGACTGGGTGTCAAAGCAGACTGGGTTGTTTTATCAGTTGGCTTCTGTAGCTAAAGAATAGATTGAGCCAGATTTAGATTAGACAGGTTTACTGCAGTCTCAACACTAGACCACCCTTTTACACTTACAATGTAAATTAATGGGCTTCACTTGGTATCAACCTCGCCGAGTCCAAAATAAGTGCTGACCTTGTTAACCTGCACAGCTGCTAAATTTGGCTGCATTATTCTCCCCATGCAAACCATTGTTGGTTTTATTGTCCTTCATTATCCCTGCAATATCTGTGCCCTACCATTTCATTACGAATCATATTATTGCATAACATTGTAATGTGAATATAATATAATATATACCTGAACATGTCCAGTGTTAATCTACCATAGCTATAGGACACATCATGCTTGGTGACTGTAGAGTCCCTCCATGGCTCAACGTCATTGCTGATTTACTCTCTCTCCCACTTCAGTGTGAGAGCACAGGAATGTCATGGTGCAGTGTCATACGCCAAAGCAGTGTCCTTGCTTTGAAAAAGCGAGTTGAGCCCACCTTGAAGAGTTGAACTACGCAGATAAAATTGTCATGTGACTAAACCGGGTGTTTCTTCAGGTTGCACATGGAATGCTCATTTGCAAGAAAACTCTTACTGATAATATAATTTGCTTGTTTGTCCACAGCAAACAAGCAGGTGAAAATCATAACTGTAATTGAAAAGTTAGATTTCTGTGAATTGTATTTCTGTTTTATCCTGGCATAGTTTTAATTATGAAAGTTTAGGTGTTTATGACAGCCTGACGGGATTCAATAAAGTTCCGAAAATTCTGTCCCAAGTTATCAAATGCTGGAACATGATGCTTTTTTTAAATCAAAGTAATAATTTAAATATTTTATTAATGTCGGCTAGATGTAATGGGATTTTCATGGGCTGACCCACTGAGGATAATAACTACAGTCTACAGTAACTGCATATATTTCTGTTTGTCTAGTGACCTAGAAAACCATTGTCAGTTAATAATTTATATCGACAGTGACATCAGCAGAAATAGCCATGATGTGTTTCAGAGCACCAGTGTGATTAATGGTGAAAACATTTTCTTGTCTTTACTTTTGACAACTTTTACCTTGGCAGCTCATCCAGACCAGTCAGCTGTCAGCTGTTTCAAACAATGTGTCCATACGATTTCCAGCTCTACAGCGAAAAGAGCATTTTGGCCTTTTTACTATGTCAACCATGGATTTAAATATCCGAAAACATCTACAGTGCCAATTTTAACTGTCTGCTAATCGTTTCTGAGACGTTTTCAGGGCAGTGATTTACTTTTAAAGGTCTCGCTCATTAGATGCCCAGAATGAAACTTGATAAGTGGCAGTGAACATCACAAACTGTTTTGCCATCTGGTACCATCTCATGCATACTGATGGCAACTTGCCCCACAAATTTTCATCTGCCTGTTTATTGTAGACACATTTAGAGGACAGATTTAGCATGGATCTAGACTGTTCTCAGGTATACATTGCCTTCATTTTAATATCACTTTTCATTTAGAGATGTTCTTAGTGAAACCCCAAGGCACTGCTTTAATTAGAGCTCAGAGTTTCTTTAATTGCCTGCTGGTAATGACCATGGGTTTGTACAAGAGCAAGACAGCTATAAGGTTCTTGTCTGCTGGTAATTTCTATACCCATTTCCATACCCATCAGCAGTACTAAAGAGCCCTAACAGTGGTGCTGAGGAAACACTGGGCCACATGATGCTATCTGTACGGTGATGCTGGATTATTCAAGACAGCTCTGAATGTGATCTTGCATTAGTAAAGTTAATATTTGAATGTGAGCACAGTGTCTTATAGGTGCATTCATTTAGTGGTGCACTAACAGGTGCATTCTATAGTTAAGTTTAGCATCACTGTTTCTCATGTACTTTAAGTACTAATAGCATAATGGTGGTAGATGCTGCACTGCCATCTATTAACGTGGATTGGTATGATCATTATTTAAATTACACTGATACTAGTTTTAGAGAGCAATCTACATAATTAATTCCCCTACTTGTCCCAACAAAAATATATGCAATTTCGGCATCACTACTCAGGATTTTCTTTGTAATCAAATCTTTTCACCTTGTTTATGAGCGTTTCTTGGTCTTACAGGTACTGATTCCCCCGTAGTCTCTGCTGCTAAAACATGACAATAACATGTAAATAATAAGCTGTAAAACACAATAATAAATTGCTTTTCCCATTGCAAAACTACGCTACTGGCATACCTATAGAGGCGGCAGCCAATGAGTGTGGGGATTCTCTCCATTTAGTGAAACACAGCAGGTCACGTCATTTCAAGATGGTGAAATACTTTGAGAGGTGACCTGCATCATATATAATTAAAAAAACATTTATAGAAAACTGTTATGAATACAGTTTTCATTTCAAGTGAGTGTTTTCCATTCAAATCACTCTTCACAAAATTTATTTCTTAATGTGTACAGCCGTTTAAATAAGCACCTAACTACTACTGAATGCAGCTTTAATATGTGCAAATATGTGACACGCTGTGCTGAACCTATATGTCTATGTTTACACAGCAGTTGTCAGACTACAGTTGTCAGTCCTTTGGAGTCCTAAATACAGTTCTGTTCTTACATATTTTAATTATGAAAGAGTGACAGCAAAATTGCAACAAGTTGCGAATAGTTGCAGTCGACTGTCTACTTGTCTGTGTCGTCATTGGCATACTTATTGCATGATCTTGCTAAGTGGGTTTGTAAATATAGATGTAGCCTATATATCTCTCTAGTGGAAATGTTCTGTAAACTTCGTACTGCTGTCCAGATCAACGTCAAACCTCTGTCACACCTAGCTTTGGATCATAACAGCATCTATTTTATTTTCAATATCCTTTAACAAGACTATGTTCAGTAGCAGTCTTAGTTTAATTCTGCAGAATTTCTGACATGAACTTTGGTTGTTTAATTGTTGTTGCTGTTTGGGAAACATCATCATTAGCCAGAGTTGAGGAGATGCCTGGCAACTTGTCAGTTGTCATGGTCAACTGTTTTGTGAGAGTATCAGCTACTCCCTTCTTTCCATGAATCCCATGGCTCCCATCCCCCCAGCCCACACTGCTGATGTCTGTAGGAAGGAGCTGATGTCATTCTGAACACATTTTCTCATCCCTTGAGGCAGCTGCAAAGCAGAGCTGTCTGGCAATATTTGTGCTTGGTATTCACAGAAAGTTCATGAAAAGCTTTTCCAGCATAAGCTCACATGCAATAACTGCAGGCTCTTCACTGCACACAGCTAAGCTTTAATCTTTAAGTCTTGGATTTATCTATATTGTGTTCCTGATATATTCGTTATCCTGATATTTAAAGGAATAGTTTACCCAAAAATGAAAAATCTGTCACCATTTACTCCCCATGAAGTTGTTACAAACCTGTAGGATTTTCTTTCTTCTGTTGAACATAAATGAAGATATTTTATAGAATGTGAGTAACCAAACTGGTCAGATTGGTTCAGGTGTCCACATGGTCGCTGACCCCCATTGACTTCCATAGTATGGAAAAAGTACTATGGAAGTCAATGGGGACCAGAAACTGTTTGTTTACCAATAGGGCTAGGCGATATGACGATATTATCGTATATCGACGATGTCTTGCAAGTATCACGATGTCGATAATAAAAGTCAGTTACAGACGATAATATCGAGAATTACAAATAGGCCTATATTTAACTTAGCCCTGTAGTTACCATGCAGATTTATTCACATGAAATAGCATGAATTAAATATTCTGTAGCCTATGCTATAGTAGCTAAATAATAGGGAATAAAAAAATCTATTCTGGAATCACTTAATTTACTTAAAGGGTTAGTTCACCCAAATATGAAAATTAGCCTGTGTTTTACTCACCCTCGAAGCATCCTAGGTGAATATGACTTTTGTTATATTAAAAATTGTCCTGGCTATTCCAAGCTCTATCATTGCAGTCAGCGGGTGTTGTAGTTGAACAGTCCACAAGTCGTAAAATAAAGCACGCGCATCCATAATAAAACGTGCCTCACATGGCTCCGGGGGGGTGAATAAAGGCCTCCTGTAGTGAATCCATGCGTTTTTGTAAGAAAAATATCCATATTTCAAACGTAATAAACACTTTTCTCTCACTTCAGGTATCTGTCATACGTGGAAGGCGTTCCGGCAGATGACGCAGCACGTATGCACAGTGCGCGTGTCTCTGAGATATGCTAGTCTCGCGAGTTTGTTTATAGAAGCAAAGGAAGCAAAGTTTCCTTACTTTAGCAAAGGAAAGCCAGTCTCCTCTTGGTTTATATCGAAATCCTCCAACGTTTTTCTTTGCAAATCCTCGGTTTGTACTTCTAATTTGTGACCGGTGTTTTGTTTTGTTCTCTCCGCATTCGTCACTAATCACGCAACACCGACGTCCTACATCATCCACCGGAGCGGCTTTCGCGTATGATAGAATACCGGAGGTGAGAGATAAGTGTTTATTACATTTGTAATATGGATATTTTTCTTACAAAAACGCATGGATTCACTACAGGAGACCTTTATTCACCGACGACTTGTGGACTGTTCAACTGCAACACCCGCTGACTGCAACGATAGAGCTTGGAATAGCCAGGTGGGATCTTAGAGCTTTAGCCCTTATATAATGGAAAGTGCAACAAATTTGTTAACCTTATCATACTGTAGGATTATATGAGCCACTGAAGTCATGAATTCTTTAATTATTTTTAGGCATAAATTTTGGAATAACTTTCAGAAAGCCCAGAATATGCCACCAGTGTTTCACTAGCATTATGATATGACTAGAAATGCTCATAAGTACCATGAAATTCCAGCATCACAAAAATATTCTCAGCATAAAACTAATATCACCATATCTGTATCTAGAGTTGCTTCAACTTCCATGTGATGTACATTTATTCATTTAGCAAATGCTTTTATCCAAAGCGACCTACAAATGAGGACATTACTATGGTGTTATTATTGTTTGCTTATTTTGTTTTGAAAATGACTCCAACAATTTGAAAGTGTTCCATCTGTGGAAGGAATATAATTTTAGTTCCATGGTAACTTCTGATTTGAGACACCACAGCAATTTATGTCCTCAGCTGATTTTTTGGTTGCTTCATTAGCTCTGTGAAATGAGAGCAGTGGCCAAAATTAACTTTCTGTGCACTCAGCTACCCCTTCTGTAGCATAACACACACACACACACACACACTTGGACATCCCCACATGCTTTCCCACATTTACACAATCCAAGTCCGAACTTCACAGATCTTGTATGAAGTTTTTTAATCAAATGTGAATTGAAATATATTTAATATATTTGTTTTCTATTTAATTGCTCTACTTGAATAATCATAAAACTATTTAAATTTTATGTACACTGTCAAAAGTTTGGAGTAATTAAGATGTTTAATGTCTATGAAAGAAGCTTCTTATGCTCAACAAGGCTGCATTTTTTAAAATCAAAAATACAGTATAAACAGTGCTGCTTAATATTTTTGTGGATGCCATGATACACTACCATTCAAAAGTTTGAAGTAAAAAAAATAAAAATAAAATAAATGAATACTTTTATTAAGCAAGTATGCATTAAATGGATCAAAAGTGACAGTAAATACATTTATAATGTTACAAAAGATTATTTTATTCTTTTTGAATGTTCTTCTTTTGTACTTTCTATTCATTAAAGAATCCTTAAAAAATGTATGATGGTTTCCACAAAAATATGAAGCAGTTTTCAACTGCTGAACTGGATGCTTCAACTGTGATAATAATTAGAAATATTTTAGCATATTAGAGTGAGTTATTTTAAATTGTAATAATATTTCTATATTGTTTTTACTGTATTTTACATCAAATAAATGCTGCCTTGGTAAGCATAAGAAATGTCTTTCAAAAACTTGTGGTAAAAGACTAAAAATGCTATGGTAAAAACCTGTTAAATGATTAATAGTAAGTTCCTTTATACAGTGAAAAACTGAAATACATCTAATAGAATATAAATCTATATTTTACAGTGAAATGTTTGGAAGTGCAAAAGAAAAAAGTCATCTTATAATTTACAGTTAAAAAAAAAAAAAAACATAAGTTGACATTACCGGAAATCTGTGTGATGCTTTACATTTGATAGTTTTTCATTGAAATAGCTATGTGTCTTCTTATGTGTTTTTCTTATCCGTTATGTACATTGGTGTTTTATATGATTTCTTTATGTTAATGTTTATTGCATTATCTTAATGTTTGTTACCATGGTGATTTTTTGTGTTTATGTGTATGACACTGTGCACCTTCTATATAGTAGTATTTAGTATTTACCTCAGCTTGTGGTAAATGATGAACTTTAATGTGTCATGGGTCTTTCTCTTTACCAGCAGTAATTTAAAGGGATAGTTCAAACAAAAATGAAATTACCCCAAGATTTACTCACCCTCAAGCCATCCTATATGTATATGACTTTCTTTATTCAGAAGAATACAATCCGAGTTATATTAAAAAATGTCCTGGCCCTTCCAAGCTTTATAATGGCAGTGAATGGGGTTTAAGATTTTGTAGTCTCGCGTAGCCAAACCTTCAGATTGACGGCAGAAGGTCTGGGAACCTTGGCCGCTTTGAATGGCCAAGGCCCGCCCAAGAGGCCATATGACTGACAGGTAAAGTAACCAATCACTTTTCGTTTTGTGCCGCGTCATATTTAGGGGCGTGGAAATGTCCCCACAATGACAGACCGCCAAACTCTTGGACTTATTTGAAAGATTCTATGCCGCAAACTTTAAATATTTCACATACTTTTGAAAAGCTGGCGTTTAGTTGATCCAGATAAGCGCTCGTCGTCACAGTTGTAAACATATGATGACTTTCTTCCATGAGGGGGTTTGGCGTCACAGCATATTTGTTTCCAGGTGGAACGTTAAGGAATGTGACACACACGTCTCCCGGAAATCCTGTATATTTGAACCAGTCCAATAGGGCTGGGTTTTGACACAAATTTCACGATTCGATTCGATTCTCATTCACAAGCTTGCGATTAGATTTGATTTATATTGTTTTTACCCAGCCCTACAGTCCAATGACAACTTCGAAACTCCTGAAGTGTTTCCAATTTTGTGTGCCAATGGTCCGTGGGCGTGACATCCTAGGCTGAAACTAAAGATTTTGAAGCCCACAAAACTGCATCCATCCATCTAAAGTACTCCACATGGCTCCGGGGGGTTAATAAAGGCCTTCTGAAGTGAATTGACATGTTTGTGTAAGAAAAATACCCGTATTTAAAACTTTATAAACCATAATCTCTAGCTTCCGCAAACTGTTGTACACTCGTTCATGAGAGTGGCGTTCTAACGGGTGACGTAGGACATAGGCAAATGCAGTGACGAACGCGGAAGCGCAGTGGAGAGAGCAAAACAAAACATGAATTAGAATTACAAAACGAGGATTGTAAAGAAAAGGAGGATTTCGATATAAGCCTTTGGTGTAAACAAAACTTGGTTCTTGCGAGATTAGCATATTCTCACCGGAGCTTATATTACACCTACATTCTACGTATTCCGCTGGACGCCATTCTCTCGTGAACGTGTGTACGACAGTTAGCGGAAGCTAGACATCGCATCGCTTCACTTCAGAAGGCTTTTATTAAGCCCCCCCCAGAGCCGTGTGGAGTACAGCTTTTTTTTGATGGATGAATGCACTATTTTGGGCTTTAAATCTTAAACCCCATTCACTGCCATTATAAAGCTTGGAAGAGCCAGAACAGTTTTTAATATAACTCTGATTGTATTTGTCTGAAAGAAGAAAGTTGTATACACCTAGGATGCCTTGAGGATGAGTAAATCATGGGTTCATTTTATTTTTGGGGTGAACTATCCCTTTAAAGCTGTTTGTGCGGGCGGTATGTTATAAAGTTAAACAACAGATTTTGGAAATTTGGTATATTAACATTATTTCAGCTAACGATTAATTTTTTATTTTTTTTTATTCAGGTTCAATCTGTAAAACTTAAAATGTTGCTACCATATTTTTTACGGTAAAGTTCTGACAACCACTACTGCCACTCAGACAGTTTTTACCATAAATTTCACAAATTTTTTAAAACCGTGTACTATATATATACACACTTACTATTTTTGTATAAACTATATACTGTACATGTGCTCCCTGTGCCTGTAACATCACAGAGGCATCTTACACTAGGTCTCTATGTCGCCATGTAGAGTTTGTGCTTAAGTGTTGAAATACCATCAACGGCTCTCGCACTGACTTCACTTTGATTTTTTTTTTTTTATAGGCGTTGTGTGGCTGTACAGTGAACATTCCCACCATTGACAACCGAGCAATCACATTGCCCTGCAACGATATCATCAAACCAGGCACAATCAAGAGACTACGTGGAGAAGGCCTACCTTTCCCAAAAAATCCGTCTCAACGCGGGGATTTGATAGTGGAGTTCCAGGTGCGCTTCCCAGACAGAATACCACCCCAGTCCAGAGAGATCATCAAACAGCACCTACCACAGTCTTAGAGGAAGTTCAGTGGATACATTGTATGGTTATGTTTTTCAAACACGTTTTCCCCAACAATACAGACGCTGAATTCGAAGACTGACAAATATGTCATAAGGACCAGAGGCTCATTTAAAATTTTGTTATGCCGAGGTCCGTGGCTTATAACCAGGACTTTATTTTTAGAAATCTTTTTTTTTTATATAATTTCCCCATTTTGGTGTAATGATGGCGATGAGGACCGCTGGCTATTTACTCTGGATTTGAATCGGTGTTATTTTGTAGCAGACTAAATTCCCTTCCCTTGTAATATTCGATAATCTCGTTTTAAAAGAAGTGTTCTGTGTAAGACAACTAAAGCACCAGCAGAGCCATTTGATAACTATTTGATATATTTCCACTCCCTCACTCCATCAACAGTCTACAGGTGCTTTCTGGTAGTTCTTGAAGTACCAGGTACTGGCAATTATGGTAAACCTTTGGTGGGATGATTACAGGATTTTTGAGGTCACAGAAATTTTGAGTGCCTTAATGTGGCTCAAACCAGCTATTTTAGTTTTATTAGCATAGATCTATAGGTATCATTGAAACAAATATACTAATTAGATTATTTTGTCATTTCTATACCCAAAAATAATGTATGGCAGTAACCATCATTAAAAGGGATAGTTTGCCCAAAAGGATAATTTGGTCATGTAGTCATCTTCATGGTGCTCTTAATATATGATGTTATTGTTTCTGTGAAACACGAGGAGTTAGCTGGAAGGATATCTAGCTAAAAAGAGTTAAAAAGTACTGTATTCTAAAGTAGAGGAAAGCTCTCTCTCTCTCTCTCTCTCTCTCTCTCTCTCTCTCTCTCTCTCTCTCTTAATTTAACCAAGGTGCAAAGGGGAAAAAAGACAAAAACATAAAAAAACAAATCGCCATAGGCAATATTGTGCATAGTCAAGTTATATTATAAGTTTTAAGTATTTGACACATCACATGGATCATACAAAAAAAAAAATCTTTGACCTAGACTGTCAAGTTAATATGTACACAACATTTTACGACTTGGTCTGACAAACCGTCCTTGCTAACAGTTATTCATTATTTCATTGACTGAGAGAAGGAACATTTCAGTGAATAATAAATTCAGTGAATAATACATTCTGGTCTGTTTCTGTGTCAGGTTGTTTTGCCAAAGTTTGACAGCTGTAGTCAAGAACAATCTTAAATACCACCTGTATTAGTTATTTAACTTTTGTGTTAAATTTGAGCAACATGTGGGCAACATAATATTTAAATAATCTTTGAGAAGGGATAGCTATTGGAAAATGCTCATTCATTTACTTTAATATACACCCCACCCCACGCATTAAAAGAAACACAAACATCCTCCGAAGTACATGACAGTCTCAGTAAATTAAAATGACCATTTTTAAAACTATATGAAAAAAATGAAAGTGAATAGAAAAAGTATGTTACTTTATATTGATAAAACTGTTTGAAGATTGATCTGACACTGACACCTGTGGAAGTTTTTGTTTTCTTTTTTTTTTGAAACAGGCCTTCATTGTTCAGTAAGCACAGCTAGAGCTAGAGTTATGAGGGAATTGTTTTTTGAACAGCTTTTAACTACAGCAGTTTCGGTATACTGTATTTCACACTTTTAAACGTGAAAAAACTTGCAATAGTTCTCTATATTTTAGTTTAGATTTATATAAAGTGCAAAATGTCCCTTTTAATCTATTTGTGATGTACCATCTTTCTACAGTAACAGCAGCCTTTGAGTAACAGTATTTTCGATTTCAACAACAATTTTAATATTTCCAGGGATCCTTCCAGGATATCTCTTATACAGTTGTAACTATGTCATTTAATCATTACTGTATTTGGTGATAAAATGAAAGTACGGAGGAACATAACCTTTTTAAGTACTGGTGTCATGTTGTTTTATTATGTGCTGGTCTATGATTGGATTGTTGTACTCAAGAGATTCTCACCATTGTACTCAAGAGATTTTTGGACATCCAGCCAATTCTGTTTTGAATTTGAATGTCAAATTTAAAAATTCACATGTTTATTACTTCTGTCCTCATGTATGAGACAGTATTAAATGCAGCTTTCTGCACCCACTGGGAGGATAAATCAATGCAGCATGCAAGCGGTGTGATAGTTTCCTGTGATTCAGAGAGATTCGGGACTTGAAGAGTGTGTGTTTGTGTGTGTGTGTCTGTGTTTGTGTATGTGTGTGTGTCTGTGTGTGTGCGTTTTTGTGACAAATGAGGACATAAATTTGTATAATGACAACGGTATGACATAGGTATTACAAGGAGAAGGTGACTTTTCAGGACATTACCCCATGTCCCCACTTTTCAAAATGCGTATAAATCACACAGAATGGAGTGTATTGAAAATCTGAAATAGCACAAAGTTTCCTGTAAGGGGTAGGTTTTGTCTGTGTCTGTGTCTGTGTGTGTGTGTGTGTGTGTGTGTAAAGTACAATTGAACTCTATCAGTACACTTACAATTTACTTTTTTGATGCTTTATAAATAATTTCTAAGATCAAGAAATAAACCACAAAATCTTGACAGTAAAGCAAAATAATAAGGATCACTGTGTTTCAGACTGAATGAAATGTACGGCTAGAACACAGAGAACACAGACTGGCACTGTCCAAATGAGATGACAAAACTGGGCACACAAGGTAACCAAAATTGAAATCAAAATATTGACAACAAATCTGAATTTTAGTTGTAATTATAAACAGTTCCTGTAGTTTATACAGATGCAGTTAGCAAAGGTTGCATGTTGTATGACTCCAGTGCAAATAAATGTTATAAGAATATAATCTTTGAGGCGAAATGTTTGCTTTTATCTATTTTAAGTACATTATAATAAGTCTACGTGACATAAATGCAGAATGCTTTCATTATGTGGATAAGTCTGACAAATGGCTCATGCCACATCGCTTGACTCAGAAATGATCCTCATCCCTCCTCTGAAATTACCCAGTGAATCAGACCGTTCTCAGTCACCAAGAGCATTTGACTTAGTCAACTTCCCTTAAGTCATACAAAAAACATGATTTAACAAGTTAAATTAACTATAGGCGTTAATTTTATTATTTCTTCATGAAGTACAAGTATCAATGTCCTGTTGATGAATGTACTGCTGACGAAGTATAAAATCTCTTAGTGATCATTAAAAATAACAAAACATTTCATGGATCACTGCATGTCTTGATTTGTCTGATTATCTGTCACAGACATGGCAGCTCCATTAACTGCACTGCATTCCTCTAATGGATCTTCCACTGACTGTGTGATCTGAGAAAATAGCACCGACGTTCCACTCGGTTCTCTATGGAGTTCATACTGTGCATGTAAATGAGCTGACCAGGAATTGACCCTAAGAATTTTGCATCATATAGAACTGTATAGGATACATCAACCTCAGAAAATCAGACAAAAAGACTGTGTATTCATCAGCTTTAACAAAAGAAATAACAATCCCAAAAATCACTGTGAATTTTAAACATGATTATTAAAAAAAAAAAAAAAGAAAAAAATCATAATTAAATAATTAGTCACTGAGAGGAAAAGTCTGACTGGCATGTATGATGTCACTGGTGCATTTCCACTGGCTGAACATGTGAAAGTATGAAAGTCCCCTTTTTTTCATCTTTACAAGTTTAATCTGAATTGTTTGACATTGTTGAAAATACTCTGTAACCACCATAGACATTCAGGGGGAAACACGGCCGCCAATATTCAGATTAGTGTCATTAATATTTGTACACTGAAATAGAAATCAGTGTCTGTGGTGCCCCTTAAAGTGCATAAGAAACATTTTCCCCTTTTGAACTGTTTGAAACACCCATCAGGCATTTCCTTAACTAAACAATGTGTTTATTTTTGTTTATGCTCCCCAGAAGTGTTGCTGACTCGTTAGTACTCTAGCCTGATGTCACTCATGAGATTTATGGCCCTCACTGTTTAATACCAGAATACATAATCATGTAGGAATAAAAGTAAATTAAGCAAAAATGGAGTGCTGAGGCAGTCTGCTGGTATTTTGTCAATGGGTCTAAAAACTAAAGCATGTCTTATAAATAGAAACACCGTATGCAGAGTCAGTAGTTTCAAGTTTGAATCCAGTACAACACTGGCATGGAATAGATGTCTATAAAAATGATCGGATTTCTGCCACATAGCCAAAGAGGTGCAACAATAAATAAACACTACTCACATGATGTATATTACAAACGTTCTGAGAGTACCCTCACTTTAAAATGAGCCATTGGTGCTATTAGACTGCCAGTGACTCCCCAATCAAGAATGTTCTTCAGGGCTTTGCAGGGGTTTTCCCCCTCTGTGAGGTGACTAAGTCATTTAGTCTGACCACATAAGGGAAGTGGATTGGACCTTGAGTCAAGCACGCTGCCAGGTCATAACACTTGGAGCAGTTGTGAGACGGACAGTAATAATACGCTGGCTCTATATTTGTCCAGCAGGAGGGCCGTAACAGCTGAGAGGGCTAAATCTGAGCATGTGAGAATGTGACAGACTCTAAACTGTTTTGAAATACTGCTCCATTGTTTGCACATCCAGAATAAACAGATGCCATTATCTCCATTCCCCCCAAAGCCACACTGACAAGTGATGACCATCAATACTGTTTAGCATGATTAAATGAAAAAAAGAGTGTCAAAATATGTTTGAATGCTCTTGTCATATGCCGTGTCATATGATGTTCCTCAGAGATAGCTGTAGCTGCGTGGATGGCTTCTGGTTATTGTTCAGCCTTTTAGGAAATGAGTAAACAAGGACTTTGACCTTTGTGTATAAAAGCTCAGTAACTGTGTCGATCTGATTCTGCATATTGGAGCATTATCAGAGGTAAGATATTAACTAAATCATTCATTCTGTGGATTTGTGGATTTTATTTTTTCATCTTATGAAGTTTAATATGCAGTAGTTCTATTTTAAACAAATTAAGACTGAAATAATCAGTTTAATTCAAGGCAAACAGTATTAGGAAACTCTGGAAAAGAGCAGGAAGACTGAAGATCACTGCACTGTTACATGATCATACATGGTTTTGTAATACTATTTTTATGTTGACTGATGTGCAATTTTTAATTTTGAATAATGCTTAAACTAGAATTACACTACAAATAGCTTTTTTTAGACAAATTTAAAATTTTAGACAGCAAATTAAATGAAAATGCAGAACCAGTAACACAATGCATTTATCAGAATCACTATGATGTTTTTAAAGTTAGTTTAGTTTTTATAATGGATGATAATAAATAATAAAATAATAATACACAGTTTTTTTTTTTTTTGATAGGAAAACGTGAAAACTAAATTAAACCATGACAGCAACAATCACTCTCTCCACGGGTCAGCAGATGCCAGCGGTGGGCTTAGGAACATGGAAAAGTGCCCAAGGACAGGTCAGACAAACTAAACATAAGCTGCTAAAAAGCCCAAAGTTGTACTGTACAGTATGCAATGTATCTTCTTATTTCTGTATGTTTATTTGTTTATGTATTAATTGTGGCAGAACTGGATTGAACTCTGTCTTACTGTAGGTGAAGCAGGCTGTACTAGCAGCTTTAGACTGTGACTACAGACACATTGACTGCGCGGCGGCTTACAGCAATGAGCGAGAGGTCGGAGAGGCCCTGAGCGAACAACTTGGAGAAGGAAAGGTACCTGCAGATAAAAATCAAGTGTAGCGTTAGTTCTGGCAGGTCACGTTAGTCAAGCTTGCATCAGCTGACTCTCAGCTGATCCCCATCTACCTATAGGAATACGACACCTATCTAAGCATTCATATATAAGGTCCTTCAGTATTATCAGCAGTTTTCGTATTGCTCAATAGCTAATTACCCTCCTCCATCCCCAACTCCTCCTCTGTCAGTCAGGATTCAGCCTTCTGATTATCCTTTGAATCAGTCTAATTCTAAAATGTGTACATAAAATTATAGAACTTTAACGATATCTGCAATACATTTATGTTGGTACTGTTCTGTTTACCTTGGGGGGGTTATCACTGCTCTCCCTGCTCTCATCCATGCTAGGCTGCATGGATGCGCAGGGAGTTCTTGCCCAGAACAGAACCATACCGCCAATCCAAACTGTATGCTAATTGTCAATCAACTTTGACGATAGTGGTCCTGACAGAACTATACATGAAATGCATCAAAGACATTTTACTATAAATACATCACACACATGAAATTTGTACTATTTACAACTACCATATAGCCTCTGAGACGAGAAGACATTTTTGTGACCTCCAAGTTGTGGAACACCAAGCACCATCCAGATGATGTGGAGGATGCCTGCAAAAAGTCTTTGTCAGATCTGAGGCTCAGTTATCTGGACCTGTATCTCATGCACTGGCCAATGGCCTTTGAGTAAGTCTTTGTGTTTCCATATCTAGCTTTTGGTAGTTGAGCAATTTATCTGAATTTCACCAACATACTCCCGTTCAAATGTTTTTGTAAGAAGTCTCATGCTCATCAAGGCTGCATTATTCAAAATTAAAAAATAAAGTAAAAACTTAATATTATGAAATATGACCATTTAAAATAACTGTTTTCTATTTGAATATATTTTATAATGTAATTTATTCCTGTGATGGCAAGGCTGGATTTTCAGCAGTCATTACTCCAGTCTTCAGTGTCACATGATCCTTCAGAAATCATTCTGATATGATGATTTGCTTCTCAAGAAACATTTCTGATTATTATCATTGAAAACAGTTGTGCTGCTTAATATTTTTGTGGAAACCTAGATATATTTTTATCAGGACTCTTTGATTAGTTCAAAAGAACAGCATTTATTTGAAATACAAATCTTTTGATTAATTGAATGTCCTTGCTGAATAAAAGTATTTAAAAATTGTGTTTTTCAGTAATAAAAAAAATGTTTACTGACCCCAAACTTTTGAACAGTAGTGTATTTGAAAAGAATAGGTTCAACGGGATTAAATACATTGTTGT